AAATATTTTTATTTAATTGGTGATTGTATTATTTTATTTTTGCCTTGTTTAAAATAATGAGCGAGAAATATTATTTTGATATTTAATATTTCACATATACATCAATACGTCAAATACATCTATTATCAATGGTCCTGTATAACGTTCGATTTTGATGTTTGATTACGAACATTTTCTGCTTTTATTATACTTGTTAATTTTATTTATTCGAAGTAAACTAACACACATGTAAATTATTACATACCAATGCAGAGGAAATTGGTAAGAGTACAAAAGCCGATTCCACGCATATATTAACAGTGCACCGTAACGGCAAACTTTCAGTTATTTTATCACGACAATAAACTAACTAAACGATAAAATCTGCTATATGTCGACATGTTTTTGTATTGTTAGCACGATGCGGCAACCGCATAATGGAGAACAAGCTGCTATAATAATTTGTTATTACTGGTGCGAGAAGAGATATATGTAATAACCACTAGCTAATGCGTTGATTCTACTTGATTAATTTTATCGAAATTATCAGAACGAAGTTTAATCTCATCGCATTGCATTTTCATCAGCGTCCATGTTCACTTATTACGAATAATATAAAAGTAATTTATATAGTTTATATATCGCGTGCTTAAGAAAGAAATATCAGATATAAGTTTATTATAATGTTATATTAATGAAAAATATATTTAAAAAATTGTATTACTTTAAAATAAGTTACTTTAAAATTATAAATTTTACTTATATAGAAAATCATGAATAAAATTAAAAATCCCGATACAAAAATATTGAAATTTCGAAAGTGTTTAAATTATAAAAAAATTTTTTATTTCATAACGAAATATTTTAATTTAACTTTATTTTATATTGCCTTAAATAATATAAAATCAAATTATAAATAAATATATAAATGGACAGGATATATAAAACATTAGACGCGCGCAATGAAAATTAATAAAATTAATAATTAGTGTGCATTTTATACTACATAAATTAGTTGTAATATGCGGCAATAAATTATATGATCATAAAACACATTTCCTATTTTTCTTTTATTTAAGTACTGTTGACATATGTATATATATATGTAAAGAATTATTTCTATTAATTTAATTTTTTAATTCTAGAATAGAGAAACCAAATGCAAATCTTGAAAAAAAAATAAGAAAAAAATAAAGAGAAAAAACATGGAAACATTAATGATATATCCGTATTGCGATTTATAGATTGTTATTTTTATTTCTCAAATATAATACATGAACATTTTATTTTATATCTGCAACATCTGTAAAATATGAAAACATGAAGAAATTTAATTAAAGACCTTATATTAATAATATAAATCAATAATAGAGATATAATTTACTTTAATTCTAATTTTAATTTCTTTTTTCCTAATTCTCATTTTTTTATTATTTTTCTATAATAAAATAGAAAATTTAGTTAATTATAATGTATCTAATATTATATCAAATTATACAGTATTACCAATATATCCGTATGATTTCCCTCAACATTACGTTTCCAGAAAATCTTATCTCTCTATAGATAGTATTCGATGAATAATTATACATAATTAATCCCAGGTTAAATATTGACTTAATCTGTTCTAGCCCATCCATTTCAAAGTAATAGATCTATCAAAGTTATTAGTAATACAGGATTTATTAGTAATACTCACAGATCCATTATACGAAAGCTGATTTGACACTTACCGATATGATACACAGTTATACAATTGATCTATAAAATACAAACGTACATCTAAATTATAGCAATTATAATAAAATAAATATTACGCACTTAATTCTTTAATTTACAAAAATAAATACATAGCTAACGAAATAATTACATAGCTTCTAAATACAATATTTTTGTAAACTTGACAACATTTTTGTAACGCTTACAAAAACTTTCGTGAAATTCTATAAATAAAAGTTTTTTCCTCTTACTTTTTATATAAAACATTTAAATAAATAACTGAAATAAAAGAAAGTAAATTATTAATTTGGCAGATAATTAATGATTAATTATTAATAAGATGTAGTATTACTCACTTTGTCGTTGCTCCGCCAACGTCTCCTAGGACTCCTCCTTTTCTCAGATTTCTTCGTGGCACTCACATGTAACACTCATTCGCGAAAGCACAAATTAATTACGATCGCGTAGAACAGATCACTAGAATACGATTGTCGCGCGATATTTCGCGTTCTCAACGTTAATCGCACGCGATACGCATCAGAATTTGTTACAATTTCAAGAGTAAAACTAACGCCAGACTAATGCGCTATTTGTATTCACGATTCACAACTCACTATTCATATAAAATTCATGAATAATGAATGAACAGATTCATCAAATTCGCATTAGTTACAATATTGTTTGTGTCAATTTGCCAGCGGAGCGATTTTTTTTTTTTTTTACGAAATCAAAAGACGTAAATCGCCGCAAATCAGTCGTATCGATGCGTTGTTTTATCGTATCAATTCGTATCGATTCGCGTATAATTACTATACATACAATAAATTACATGAACAGTGTAAAAGAATTCATACTAGTCAATTACAAAACTATGATCCACCCTCAACACTCGCGATTATTTTACAAATCATCACAAAAAACAAATATCAAAAACAAATAATGCGAAGTACACGGATATATGTCTATCTCTCGCCTCGTGAATGATAATGAAAAAGCGACCTTCGGTAAATACAGTATACAAAACAAGTATCGAACAACGCATATCAGCGTCATGTCGTTATTGTTAAGAAATACTGCCTGACAAATTATTATTCCAAACATTTTTCTTGTGATCTCAACTAATTATTTGTAAATGATCAATATATTACGGATCTTTGTTGCTTGAATTACTCGAGACATTTGCATTATCACTCAACGAGTAATTATTACATTCTATTTGCTAAATCAATATCATTCAAATCCACAAAAAATCCAAAGCGCGATGATATATCGGTATTATTGTAAAAAAAAATTTTTTCCCGCAAATATTATACAGAGTAACAATTTACAATTTTCTATTTAAATGTGATTATAAAAAAAGAATCTTTATCCACTTATCTCGAAGTGACAAATAGCAATTACATTCTGCCTATATCCGTTCGATTTCCATGTCAAATTCACGTCAAAAATATTATTCAAATCTGCTGTCCAAAGTGCAATGATATATCGATATTCAAGTATCATTTAAAAAAAATTTTCGTCGTACAAATATTTTACAAAATAATAATTTATAATTTATAATTCTACCGTTTTGATGTCTATATATGTAAATAAATCGCATGAAATATCTTTAAATTGATAACTAGACAGGCTTAAAAGAGTTGAGAGCTAAAAAATCATGGGTTGTAAATGACTAATTACATAATAATAATTCTTTAAAAAAAAACGGAGAGTGAGAGAATAACTAATTAGAGTAAGAGAATAACTAATGATAACCTTTTTTAGAAGGGAATAATCGCGTGTTCACGCGTATTTTCGACGACTCTTTTTCTCACAACAAGAAATACACGTGGAACGGTTCGTGTCGTTGCTCGTTCGATCAGTAGTCAGTGTTCGAATGATAGGTATGCTGGCCTTGTTTAAGCAGCACCACGTATGTATATTCCATTCCGACCTTGTTTATACAGCGCGCTATACACATTCAAACACAAACGCTAAACGTGTGCTAGCCAAGTATTTCCATAAATACTTAACATACTCAATAAACCACTTCGTAAAATATTGAAAATATGTATGTTATAAAATAATATGCGTGTCAAATATTTTAATTCAAGTAAAAAAAGGATTATTATTATCGATTGTTCGTCTCATTATCGTAAATGTATATTATATACACATATCGCCATATTGATTTTCGGCCAAAGACTCTGGCTTTTTGGATAAATCTTCAGAATTTTTTAGCTAACACTTCTCTATATCTGATTTTTTTTATACAGAAAAGTATGTACAAAATGTATTAATGACCACAGTTGCCATCTTTCTGATTTTTAACCAGAGATTTTGATATTTGAATAACTTTTTTTTAGAGAGATATGATTTCTCCTTGAAAAAAAATCATCAAGTTAACGATTCACGACAATTATGCTAATATATGTTAATAAATGAATTCCGGCGGACCATCTTAACTGTGACGATATATAATATGCATATAATTTATTCTTACAAAATTTTAATTCTTATAAATATATTATTAAAACCAAATTTTTCTTGTTACATGTAATTACCCAATATATTTTTTTCTTTTATTTTATGTAAATATTTGAATGATTAATTACTTATATAATCTTATTGATTAATTACTTATTGAATCTTATTTATTTGAAAATATGATTTATCTTTGCCTTGGAAAAAAATTTACATTTTGAAGGAATAATTAAAAATTTAGATTAATATATTATCACTTCTTTTCACAAATATTTCGAGAAAAACAAAAAGAGTTTTATTGAAAAAAAATGTAATTCTAGTAATGTGAAAGAATAAGATTAAATTCTAAAAATATAAATATAATTTTATATATTTTTATTATTTATTATATATTAATTTTTATTAATTTTTTTTCTATATATTCTGTACGTATGAATACGTATGAAAAAATATACATATAAGAAAACATATAAGAAAACATATAAAGAATACATATAAGAAAACTAGAGAAATAATAGTCAATACTGAGGTATGTGCTAATATTTTTGCATGAACATTTCAATGCGATAGATTAATGTGAATGCGAATGTGATGCAAATAAGGAGTCGTCATTACGAGCGATTACGTATAGAAGTTGTTCTCGTCATCTCTGTGATGTCAAACTAAATCCTAAGTGAGAGCGAACGAATGAAATTCGCGAATAAATGCGAATGAATACCTTGTTTCAGTAAGTAATCGCTAATACAACAATGCCATTTATATTCATAGAAGCAAGTTGCTCGTTCGTGTTTGCTTATTTGCTTTGGATCCAACTTAAAGAATATACTTATATTACTTACCTTTACGGGTATACAGAATATAATTAACAGAAGATCAGCTGTAGCCAGACCACCTAGGAAAACATTGGTTGGTGTCGCTGGCAACGGCCTAAGTCGTGGGCAAAGGGTCGAAGCGATGATAATAACGTTCCCTGAAAAAAAAATTATGATCCCTTAATCGTAAAGAATGATATTCCTCTTTCCAAGAGTCTCGAAGAGACCTCCTATTACGGAACATTTTAAAAAAAAGCTTAAGTCCCTAATAAATTCTTCTGGTCACTGAAGAATCGTGCAATATCGTGCGATTTTGTTCAATAACTTACGGTAGATTTAATATCGCGAATAAGCATTATTTTGTAATTATCTCGTGCGGATAATTACGAGCTCGTTTATGACATAGCTTTTGTGAAAGTTAATTATTACGAGGAATACTCGAGTTTAAATAGATGCTTCATCTCGGGACCAATTTTATATGTATGTGTAGAAAATAAGCTATGTCTTATAACTACACGCGCTACATTGTTTTACAAAAGATATTTACATATTTTCCATATAGACAAACATTTGTTTTAATATCGATATTAATAGTTGGGACTATTTTTCATATCTTCCTCATAAAAAATTATATTCATAAAAAATTAAGGTATTTATATAAATTATACAAATTTTTGTAACTTTAATGATATGTTAGTTTTATTCTTTTAAAACAATGTGAGGCGCGCGTACTTAACGTCATCTTTTTATCTTTTTTTTATAGCTGTATACAGTATACTGTTAATTTATTAAAGGTCTTTGTAATGTATTTTTCATATTTTTATTATTTATTTAGTGATGAGAAATATCATCGCTGTAATCAATTGATCGCAAGGTGATCTATATACATATATGTACATACAGATTGTGGAAAATTGTGAAAAATTGTCATTCATCGGATTGTCGGAAAATCTGTCCCGCTTTTTTTTCATAAAATTGTAATGACATTATTATGGAAAATTGAAGCATGTCTGACAATTGACCGCGTTTCGTGAATTCCGCTCATACTCATTCAAATCCCACTTGTCGTCAACAATTATTAATAGTCATACGTCAAACGAAATAATTGCTGCGCCTCAGGGATTCGAGAAATATGGGAAACTATGTTCGGTCGCGTGGATTAATGAAAGATAATTCTGGATCCCTACAGCCGTTTGAAAGTGGTTTGTATTATATTGGTAACTTGTACCATAACACGACGTCGTGTAATTAAGAGCATATTAGGCTCTACTGCACTTCACAAAGCGACACTGCTCCGACAGTCTCCGTGCGAGAAATGAGATTCGTCGTTCGTAAATACCCATCTCTGCACCGCGTCTAATTCGTCTCTTTAAGACGAATTATGGTATTGCTTCGCCTTTATTAGCGTGATATTTACCATCCAATTAGCGATTTTGCGGAACTGGAATGTTTCATCGACAACGCGGCAATTTTTTTTCACCGCGATCGCGCGATATATGACGTAACAAAAAATAAACCTACTCGGCAACAACTCGTGTTATCCGTAATTCTCACCATAATTACGGGTGCGGTTTAACGTAAAACATAGCGTGTTACGTCGCGATTTATACAGCGAAATAATAAATCACAAGAGGGAGAAAACAGAGTCTTTTGCTTTTCTGAGGATGTACGTGTTACATCTTTTAACATTTCTGGTCCTTTCTAAGATTTATCACGTAATTAATGTTCTGCAAAATAAAAATATTTCATTAGGGGCATGACTCTTTTATTCGCCAAAAAACGACAAAAATATGTAAAAGCTTTTTCCTCACGTCAAAATAAATTAGAAAGAACGCGATAACTAAAAATTAATAAATTACATAATGCCTGTTTAAAAGAATCGAAAAATAATTAAATTAAAAATTACGTAACTGTTCATTTCTAAAATCTAACGATAATAAGATTAGTATAGATAATAATAGAATAGTAGCCATTGATGTTTCAATGTACATCATAATATACTTCAGAATTATTATTAACATGCACATTAAAATGCACAAAATCATCATATGATATAATTCTAGAAGAATGAAAAAAGTATAACGGATATCATTAAAATATATTTAATCAGAAACTTATACCGTTTTACGAGAATTCTGGAGTGCTTCATTAAATTTTTGTGTAAAATGCCACAAAAATTATGATTAAATTAAATTGTGTTAAATGCTGTGATAATCTGAGTGGATTTTTTTTAAAGAATAAGTTTTTCATTAGAGTATTGACATTTAAAAATTATATAATTATTATTCTAACATAAATTATATGAGTAAAGCCTTACAGATAAGTTAAATTAGATAAAATTGTTAGAAAGCTTAAAATAGAGATATTAAACGAACCCGCAGTTTACATGAATCTCTGTTATATAGTAGAAGTTAATCTATGCTTTGAAAGTAAACGACTTATATTGTGTTAAAGTTATACGATCCAGCCAGATTACATTATATATCGAATAAGCGCGACAAGATGCCATATATTATATTAATATTCATATAACATTAATATTCATCAAGCAGTTTAAAGCGTAATTTATAGACTTACAAATAATTTACACGATCAATTATGTCAATTAGTTTAGGATAATTAACAAATAAAATAAATTTTATACGGGAAAGTTAATAATTAGATGTAAATTTTCTTAAACTTAAATATTATGATTCATATAATTATGTAAAATTTTATGCAAAACATATTGACATATACGTTCAGTTGAAAACCTCGTTTTATCTAATTTTTTTAACTTATTCGCGCAGGTAAGCACAAAATGTAAAACTTACCGATTAACCCGAGGAAGAAAGTCAAAGTGTAAACCACCAGAACAGGCGCTAGTTCCGCCCACTCGAAATGACTGAAGGAATCGTTGATGTCGTAATCGGGAAAGTCCGTCGTATTAGTGCTATTGGACAGGACGTCCATTAAATCGTCGGCGGTCGACATCACAGTGTGATTATTGAGGATCATTTTCGTTGAAAGCTGTATATCCTTACGTTATCGCGGTGTGGTTTCGCGCCTTACTAAGGTTATCACACCTTAGAAGACATTTCACGGAAGCAGGAAATCGAAACCAAGTATCTATTTTTGAATTTACGTTCATCGTCAATCTTTACTCTATACATTTTTGTATAAAATAGTTTTATAATTTCTAAAAAAATGTCTAAAGGGCAGGACAGGTATGTACAGAGAATTGTTAGACCCTCCAACAAAATGTAGGACGTGTGGCAATCCTAGGTTTTACGCACGACAGAGCTTTCACCGAGCTTCCTGCCCAGATATCTGCACGAATTGTTTCGCTTGAGTTTCCTCGTTCTCATCCTAGCGCGACTCGTCGTTCCTGGAAAAAGAAAAGAGAAACTGTCAACTCGCAATGAGCACAACATTTTGCTTTTGTTCGATCAAATACACTCGTATTTTTACGACTCGACGAGCTTACTTCTTAATAATACAAGATAATCCATCTTATTATTTGAAATGTTTCTTATAATTTTGGAAAAGGAAAACGTTAAGACATATCAAAAGGATCAATAGGAAAATATAATAATTTAAAAATATAAAAAGGAATTAATTAGAAGATATTGAGAAAATATATAAAAGGTTAAATTTTTTATTTATTTTCTATCATATCTTATCGAAATCTTATGATAATTTCATTTCAATGATGGTAATTCTTCTCATGGTAATTTCAATTAAACATTCATGTTCAATTATCAAATGCAACATTTACAAATGTTAAAAAACCTTAAAGTATCTCACATAGATTCAAAATTAATAATAGTAGTAATTAATAGTAGTAATCATGTAGATTCACGCAATCAATAAAGATCAATGACGATATTTCCGGGAGAAGGAATTATTTGTTTTGCTCATCAACTAACGATAAACAATCCTTTTAATGAAACTTCTGCTTTAGTTCGTAGAAATTAAGAATCTTAACAGATTTGCCTTAAGCAGTAAATGTATCACATTTTGCACGCAGAATTAACGATCGTCTTCCGATCAATAATCAAAACATGCCGTTCGAATCGCCGTTGTATCGCAGCGAGATACAGCTACCAAAACGCAACGCAATTGCATTTGCGCGCGCAATTTCTCAGAGACGATCAGATAGAAATGCGTATTTGCAACGTTAATATCAGAAGTAAATTTCGAGGAAGAGAAATTTATTCCGCAGACAGACGCGATTAAAGCGTATATTATCATTCATAAATCCGAGATTTGATGTGAAAACAGGATTAGATGTCAAAGAGAAAGAAAAAAAGATAAAATAAAATCGTGTTTGAGAGCTAAAAACATTCAGGTCGTACGTAACAAATGTTTACAGTCAAATCGTTATCGTGACATTTATTTCAATTTTCTCTCGAGCTTTCAAAAATGTAACAATCTGAACAATTCCCAATTGTGAACTAATAACTCATTAAATAATTCGCGCTGGAAGAAGAAAAGCTTTAATCACTTAAAGAAAATTTCATTAAGCTACCAACCGCCATAAAATTTCAAGTATTTAATTAGCGCGTTCTGATATCGTACAAACATTTTATTTGATATCTTTTATACAAATTATATACTATATATGTATATCGTAAAAAAATATTTAAGAGTGGGATTCTAATCGGAAAGTAAGATAGAAACAAAACTACGCGTTACAGATAAAATCTTAAAGCGTTTTGTTCACTATGCACTCGTACGTTCACGAGTGAAATATATAAAACCTGAGGTATTGCCTGCAGAATAAGATCGATCGCTAAAATACTCTCAAGCGACGTCTCAATAAATATTGCATTTCGTTTAACCGTGCGACCGCATATCCCAAACGAAATAGTTCGCGTGCTTTAAATACAGCATCGTACGTAATAAACGTTTGCGTCAGGAAAACCACGTAATTTACGTGGTTTTCCTGACACGAACGTTTCCAATTCCACTGCGTTCGACATCGTGCATTAAGTCCGCTTATAGAAAAGCTTACTCGAGTCCAATCAAACGAAGAATCGTACTCAGGGAAGCTAGTACCAAATGTGGAATATAGTCCATTTCGCTTTTGAAATTGCATCATATTCGATAATAATTCCACATAGTATTTCACACTGCGTATTATTAACTTTTGCACTCGCAATGCTTGTTGCATAATATGCAACAGTATTTTCTTTTGTACCAAACGATTACAAAGTAGAATTGTTCGTGTTATTATTATATGTAAATTTGCGAACCCGAGTTAGAAATTAAATAAATAAAATGTATTTTAGTGAAATATCCGATGTATATATTCGAGGTTTATTAACATCATTGCAAAACATATATTTTTAAAAACTGTAAAAAAGTAATATTTATTTCTATATTATATATATATATTTTTTTTTGTATAAATATAAAAGTATATCATATAGCATATAATATATTTTTATATTCATACATAATTAATTAAAAAGAAATTAATAAGTATCAAATGTTAACAGTTAATAATCGATAATACAAACATGTAATAAAAAAATGAAAAAATAAGAAAATTTTAAATTACTACGATAAATTACTACGATATAACCACTGCTTTAAGATCGGCATTTGACACCTTTTCGGTAGATCGTTGGCATATCCGACGAGAAGCAGAGATTCCATTTCCGAGAACGGAGAAAATCGAATTATCAAATGCAGCAGAGCAGCGATGCTGCAGCCGGGGTCACAAATGTATTGCGGCCGCGTCCGTAATGCATTTCCCAAGCGAATGATATTGTACGAAAAGAAAACGAGAGAAAAATCATACGGACATAATGACATAGTACGGCGAATTGACCCGCGGCTTCGAGGCACGTTTAACGGAGTCCGTTAATGATGCAAAAAGTCATCTATATATAAAACTAAACACCGTGTAAATGCTTTTTGCACGTGGTCTTGACAAACCGCAACTGCAATTTTTAATATGCATACATATAGAGCATTTCACATACAAAGTTATCTCGAAAGAATTCGGAGGAGAAGCGAGAGTTACTTTCTACTTTCTTTTTTTGATTTTGATGCTGATGAAAAAAAACTGCAATCCAAGTATGGTTTCTTCCGGTCATTCCCAAGAGTGACCAGATATCGAAAGGATGTGATATTGCAAGAAGCGAAACAAGTAAATTTGATTGTTAAAGAGGAAGAACTCGAGTAGAATTTTTGCCGAAGAAAAATCGACTCTAAATTCACCACAGAGTTTGCGGTCGACAGGAAGCGCATGACTCATGGGATGCCGGCTACATCAACGGGTACATTAACTGCGCCAACTACTTCCATTCTACCAAATTCAATTTTAAAGCTTTCCACGACCGACACTCGAATTAAGCCCTTCTGGCCTTGCGTTGTACAATTTTATTTCTCGTAGCCGCGGGAACGTGACGGGATAACGCGAGGAAAGTTCAGCAGGAAACGATTCACCCACACTAATCGCATCCTTTAATTAATTAAATAACATTAACTAACATTACCTTAATGATCCATGAAAAGATTTCCGACATGTCAAAAAAAAGATGTTCTGTTCACGAATAAGTAAAGTACGTCTTGATTTATTTAAATAAGGTCTCTTTTTAGAATTTAAATAAGATATTTTGAATCAGAGACAATATGTAAATTGGTGCGTGACATTTTGAAATCTTTTTTATATAGTTCTTATGTCAAGAACGAGATCTGTAAATCATTACATATTAAAAATAACATTCGTTATTATATTTACAACTGCCCATATGCAACTGTCTGCACGAACTTTTTAATACTACAATATGCAAATAGTGTACGACGTGTAGTGCTACTTCTGCGATATACCAAAAAATGCGATCCCGCAAAATGCAGAATTCTACGTAAAAAGACTTATATTTATATTTTGTTCTACTATATATTTTAAACTTGCTTCATCTTCTATAACATTTAATATTTATTATTGACAGGACACATCGATTGTTCCCAATTGCAAAAATAAAGACCTATATAAAGAGGATACAAATTAAAGGATTTCAAGAAATCCACATTTGAAATTTGTATATTTTACATTTATAATCTTTTATGGAATTATGGAATGAAATATATTAAAACTAAAGAATCGCATTAAAAATGATATTTGTAGAAATATATTTTTCTTTTTTAAAATATCTGACACCATATTTGTCGATTGTACACGTTCATTGTCCACGTCCCAAATCGCTTTAATTATCATGAATTATTATAAGTAAATAAAAATACACATTGAAAAAAAACATTCTAATTGCTTTAATATAAAAATTCGAGCATAAATGCGATATTTCACTCGTATTGTTTAAAATTGAGTATGACATAAGAGAGAGAGAGAGAGAGAGAGAGAGAGAGAGAGAGAGAGAGAGAGAGAGAGAGAGAGTAGAGAGAGAGAGTAGAGTACGAGTA